CTCCCACATCCATTTTTAAATAAACATTTGAAACCCACGATTTTTGTTGTCCAAAAAAAATATAAATAAATTCAAAGAAGTTTAGAAGTCTTTAACCCTCTTCGATGTTTTATGAGAGCTTTTTTTTCGTACAGACGTAAATGCATGTTAGATATCAACCTATAGTGTCTCATTTGCTTATAAGCAGAAAAAATAATATTAAATCATCATGATTAAGCATGAATTTATGAATTTGCATATTCTTATTTCTTCTTCCTTTTAACATACTTTGTGATATGAGCATGCCTATACACTTGACGAGAAGAAAAGCATATTAAGGCAAAGAAAAGAGAAATTAGTAGATTGAAATCATTTACTTATGTCAGCAATAAGGACAATTGAGTATAGACCCTTTAAACATTATGCCATCCACTCCATGTCTATCGATGTGATATTGAAATTTTCATTACAACAAACGCATCGTCATCAAATTTTGTTGAATTAATCTTCAGTTTCTGCATCTCTCTTTCAATTTATTCAACTCACAAATGCTAATTATTAAGACACTAAGTAGATACTTGACATGAAAATTCCTTTTTCCGATTATTTCACATTGATTTCTATTTTTTTTTTGTAAATCAAGTATTTGAAAGCTTTTATACAATAGGATATGTGGAATCAACTGCATTTGCAAAAAGAAAAATCTATCTATGCTCACTATATTTATAAAACGTGTAGAGATGATGACGATGATGATGCTGATTGTACATTTTATGTATCAATGTGGATGGAGAGGAAAGAAGGAAAATGTGAAGGAAGTAGATGAAAATAATCAACGAATACTATCAAGGACAATGGAAAGCTTATTATTTGTGTTTGTTGGGAAGAATTTTCTTCTTCTTCTTTTTGTGTGATGGAAACACAGAGTTCTTCATTTCCTTCCATTTTCATCATTTCTCTCGTTCTTCATAGTAGATGTTTGATAAAAAAAAAATTATATTCATTAATGAAATTATTATTGAAGTGATTATTGAATGAGATCAAAAAGTACAGAATAAATATTGAATTATCAACATTGAGTCATATTTTAGGGTGAGGGATGATGGGAACATTTGTCAATTTTGTATGCTGCGTTAACGTAGTTTTAATTAAATTCATTTTATAAGTCCCATTTAAAATTTTTAAGATTTTAACAAAAAATTAACAATGCATGAAAATTTAAGAAAGTATACTTGACTATTACTGGCTTTCTATAAGCGATAAACTGCAAACTCTTCTCTCACACTGTTTAAATATCAACAAATTGAAGACTAAAGTATCAAAGTTTTATATATAATATTTTATTTTTGAATTTTTCCAAAGAGTTAAGAACTGAACAATATGATCAAAAGTCTGGAGATCAGGTCCGCATTCTTAATTCTTCGCCAAATCCCTGTTTTGGCTACAAAACTGTTTAGAAACCTAATATGCAAACAATAATGATACGGCATATTTATGAACTGAAGAGTTAATTATGATATTCTTATTTTTCTTTACATGCTGTAGCTTGAAATGAACATTACTAGCCATAAGCCAGAATCTATAAAGAACCTTTAGTATCCTCAACAATTGATTAAGATGATTCATTTAATAGAACAATGAATGATAAGGAAAGGTTTTGCCAAGGGTTCGGAACTGATAAATTACGTTTTGATCATATCATCAGTTCCGCATCCTTGGGTTTTACTATAAATAATTCAAAGCATTATTCCCTCTCGATCCCATATCAAGCATTCCCACAGAAAAAAAAAAACTCCAAGTCCAAAACATTTAAATATACAGCATAAAAAAACTCTTTTACATTTCCTTAATTGAAAGAATCGTGTAAGAACATTTATTTCCATTGTCTGAAAGAGTTAGAGAGTATCATTTTTTATGATGACGTCATAAACCCCATCTAATGTACAAAATGTGTACTCATAATTTCTAATCATAGTCTCAAATAAATTTTTCATCCCCTGACGACCTTTGAAGAATAACAACCTTTCGATCTTTTATTTTAAAATGCAAAATTAGCATAGCATTTAATGGATATATGTAAAATATCATGGCATATTCAAATTAGATGTATATTTTCAGCTAAATGCTACTGCTGTTACTAAATCATTATTATTCGATCTATTGCGAAAAAAAATTCTTTACTTCACACACGACTGACTAACTGTTCGTACTTTATTCATAAATTTCTATTATTCTATCGCAATTTCATTACATCTTCTCTAAATGTCAAAAAGAGGCTTTCCACCCACCAATTTTTTTTTTTTTTTTTTTTTTTTTGAGAGAAGAAACAACAAATCGTTTATGTATATTGCATAACATTTCATGAATGAATGTGCGCTCACCACGCAAAATTCCATTTTCCAAATCGAAAAATTATATGTAGCTCTTCTTTTTCGCAATTCCTTTTCTTTTTCGAAAAAACGACATTGGGTAATTAAGGAGACCTTTTCCTCATCATTTTTACATCATCTACTCATTCATTGAGATTTTTTGTCAAAAGGGCTCCTTAGAGTCATGCACACACACACACACACCTAATATTTTGTTTCCCGTTCATTTCCAATTCCTTATCATCTCCACAAAAAAAAAGTCTGAAAAGAAATTTTTTTCTTGCAGTTGGGATAGGCCAACAACAACCATAAAAATGCTTCATGCCTTCATTTCTTATCGTCATACCAAAAAATAAATCTCTCAAGTGGTGAAGAGTGAGAGAGAAAGAAAGATGGAGATCATTCTTCCTAAATTTCCTTCATTTTTAATCAATTCTGCAATTTCTATTGTGTGTGCCTTCCGCCTTTTATGTACTCCAGAACTGATATCTAGAAAAAAATATCGATTATTTTTTTTTCTTTCCTTCTTTCTTCCTCCATTCATCTCTGAGTGTTTTTATCCTCTCAAATTCTTTTTGATTGTCTCGAAAATTGAAAATTGAAAAAAGAAATTTAATCTATGGGATGGATGTAATACAGCAAATGGAAATAATAAAAGAAATTGAGAATGAAAGAAAAACGGAAAAAAATTATCGTTGAGATTTTCTTTTTTTTTCAATTTTCCCATCACATAATTTCATTCCTATCACTAGAAACAATAAATTTCATTTCGTTTTTTAATTTCCCGAAAATGTGATGCTGCTTGCTATAGGGCGGATTTTCACATTTTCTCTCATAAGAGCTTTTCTTCTCTTTCTCTCTCTCTCTTTTTTCTTTTCCTCATTTTTTTCGGTATAATAATGAAAATTGGGTATGAATCTTGATAGTTTGATTTTATGATGATATGACTTAAAGTTCATAAATTGTATCAATTATGGAGTTGATGACGATATTATTTCAGTTTTGTAGCTTAGCTTTGGATGTATATGGAGATTATTAGCAGTTAAATATCAGCCACATGACAGCCATGACGTAATTTTTTTTGCCGATCACTATTGTCACTATTGTTTCTTGACTTAAGGAGTGTTCCTCTTTTGTGAGGCTTTCTTTTCTTGGCAAAAATTCGACAATCTCATTATTTATGCATAGCACAGTATCTCTTTGGTATTGCATAAAAGTCATTTCACATTTTAATGTCACAAACAACTCACCTCTCTTGCCATTACGACATTTTCTCAGCAGAACGTTTTCGGGGGTTTAAGCCAGAAGAGCTCCCCCTCTTTAATTGCATTTAATTGATACTTTAAATAACGACATTAGTATTGTGTATGAAATCCACCTAATTTTGAAGGACAATGGACTTTTTTTATCTTATGATTAACTATGCGCTTTGATTTTTTTTTATTTTTTCTTATTTTTTTGACTCTTCACAAGGACGATAACAATTTACTATATTATTATTTTTTTATATATATTCGATATTTGTCAATTGCCTAAAGTTATATTTCCTTATCTTTTTTTATTTGTTTCTTGATTCTTCACTTAATATTTAATTCGATTGCAACGTTGATAACTAAATGAACACAGAACTGTAATGATTGAATTATTCAATGATGAAACAATAGCACGAATAACTTATAACAATTTCCGTCTTTCTCTTCTCTTTTGAGCAGCCAAAAAAAAAAATTAAATTTCACAAACACGAGTTCCTTTTTTTGAAAAGAAGCCTTTTCAATAAACCCCCTTAATTGTTCACATCTACACGTTTTTTGCCATAAAGTCACACTTCTTGTCGGAAATGAAAAGAGTTACGGAAAAATATATCACTTTTTAATGTAAATTTTTTAATTTATCCTTTTTTTCTCATTTTTTGTTTTACACCTACGGGAACATCGAAAATGTTGTGGGGCGAAAAGACGTCAAAAAGGATGAAAAATGACTCGCTCTCTTTTCTCTCTTTTTTCCGTTGTGTTTCTGTGTCTTCTCTTTCTTTGCTGTGAATTATTTTTTTCCTTGTGTATTTTGTCGCAAATCTACACACACGATCAATTCAAATTGGTGACTATACTTCGAGATTCAATATCAAAAAAAAAAAATCACTCTCTTTTCTCTCCTTCGATATATATCTCTCCGCAAAAAAAAAGCACATATATTATAGAAAATTTTGTGCGTCAGCGCAGCGCAGATTTACACCCAAAGATTGGCCCGTCGTGACGAATTTTTCATGCAACATTTGGCTTTTTGCTACTAAAATCCCAAAGTATGCCACTTCACTCGATCCTTATCACGAAACTTTGACTTTATCGCAACATTTAAAACCTATCGATTGTCCTTTAAAATACTATTGATGGCGAAATTTAAAAATAAAATTTCACGATGGACACGTTCACAATCGAAAAGTTTAGAGATTTCCAATGAAAATTCCTTCGAATATGTTCCAGTTGAGTGAAAGGATATTATTCAGCTTCCAACTTTCCAGTCTCATATGCCCCAATAATGTCGCATGAAAGTTCCTTTAAACTTTTTAAAGTCAGTAAATTCCTTCTGTTATCTTTTGGAATCAGAACTTTTAAATGAATTTTTAAAAGAATTTCAATTTATTAAATTTTAAATCTTTATTAATATTTGTCAACTTTTATGCAACACATGATTATAAAGCATGTAATTAAAAATCAACCGTCAATTCTTACAAAAAGTAAAGTTGTCTATGATTGTCCATTTTTTCGAATGTAGTGCTTTCATTTAAATGAAGATGCTGTCCAAACAGGAATGCAAGTTTTTGAGCGTATTGAACCACGGATGGAACACGAGTTGTCCCACTCCAGTTATAGTACAAATGACACCTGATTATGAAAAAAAAAAATTTATTAAAATTAATCATCAAAATGATGAGTATGAGAACTTACAATTTGTAGGAAAGCAATTGCATTTCCTTTGGCTTAAGACAACTTGTATCATAAATGATGTTGTATGAAGTAGGTGCAACTGTTCCTTGTTTTACACTTTGAGAAATTAGATAAAAGTCATATCTCTCTGGAAGTGTAATGACATCATCTACGACTGTTCCTGGCAATGGGTTGTCATAAGAATCTCTTTGTTTTGAGAAAATTCTTGTGTTGATTCTTTTATTAATAATTATGAATGCAACTTGAGGCTTAGATCCACATTTGGAGTATATCATATCAAGTTTCGAGTTGACATCATTTAATTCTTGACCAACAACATATTGAATTTGACCTTCACCGACTCCATCTCTGTATATTATGACTCGTTCTATAGAATAGGAAATATTTTAGCATATATTGATAAATTTTCAGTAGTAAGACTTACCTGGAAGTGCTTGATATGTATTCTTGTATCTCATGATCATTTTTATGATATTTACACCAAAATAATCAGAACAATTGGAACCTTTAGAATGCATATTGACACAAGAGAAGAAGGTTCCATTTGACTTCCCAGGATTCATGGATGCAACCATAGCTCCATAAGCTAATTTCTTATCTTGAGTATCATTTGTGATACTAAATCCAATAGTTAATAATCCACTGATTGGAATATCGATGCTCCATGGAATTCCGCCTAACTTACAGTTGACTTGAATGGCAACATTCGTTGCAACAGATAATCCAGCCTTTGAATCCATAACTTTTAATGTAATAACTTGTGTTGGAGTTGGTTTAAATCTTGAGTTTAAGCTCGTTTGTTTAATCATGCGATAACGTTCAGCTCTTATGTTTGGGACAACAATCAATAAAAATCCACAATCTCTTTCCAAATAAGTTTGGATTTTGTCAACGTAAGCGTCAGGTCTATCATTAGGCAGAAGAACTTTCTTAGGTTTCGAAATTTGCATGCCAAGTTTTCCACCAGCTTTCATGAATTTCTCCAAAAAAGCCTCAGATTGTTTTTCCAATGATTGTGGGAACATGAAAATCCATCGCTCAACACTCATTGCTTTAAACATTACAACATCTTTTAAGTTTGATGTCCATTCACCGATATTTTCTGATCTTTTGAGATCCACAACTTTAACATCTCCAGCATCGGTTCTTCCAAAAATAATTTTCTGTTCTGGTAACTTGCGACCATCGAATTCGACAAGACGATCATCAACACTTAATTGATTTGAATCTAATGACTGAGCACCATCACTTTTCAATCTTTTATTAAAATTAAACAAACGTTCGACACGTTGTTGTGGTGTCATTCGTGTCTTATCTGCCAAATCTCTCATTTTTCCGAAATCATTTCTCATTTCATCAGTCACTCCAACAGGGCTACTCAATTCAGGGATCAATGAAACTGCAAGGTTTCTTCCTCCACGACGATCCCTTGCTTTTGGCTTAGAAATCAGCATTGGCTGACGATAATCACGGATTTTAATATTGTATCTTTCAGAAAAATATTCTACAAATGACTTAGTTTTGCCATTTATTTCAAAAGTATCTTGCGGTGACTTTCTGAAGTCAATATCATCAACTATATTTTTGTGGTAGGAATTATAGAATTAAAAATATTAAAATTAAAATAAATGTGAGGAACTTACTTCTATAATTCTTATTATTATATGCAGAAATGACTGTCATCCCAACTATGCGCTTTTTAGCCATCATTTGATATTCTCTATCATCTCTTGAAGCTTGTTGGCAGTCTTTTAATATGCTCAATACAGTTTCTTCCCTTATTACTTTGTGAGTAAAATCACAGCATAAAAGAAGACTTTTCTCAAATTGTCGAATTGCGGTAGCAAAACCTGGCCAAATTTGAAGCTTTGCACCATGAATTGTCATGCTTGCTTTTGGATCAAAATAATTTCTTCCAATTAATTCCAAATTCATATCTTGTAAGGATTTTCTGATCACTAGATTCATTATTTGGAAGTAAGTTGCTTCATTGTATTCAATTTTTCGACGAAAAGTAAATCTCAGTGTAAATTCACTTCCGTCCCGTAAAGCTGTGCGAAATGAAGATTGACTTGGCTCATTCAGTAAGTAAATTGAGTTTTTATCATCAAAGACATGAACTCCAAGTTCATCCTTCAAGTTGTTGACAAGAATTTTGCAGAACTTGGGATTAAACATTGGAGGCTCAAAATCAACGCTGTACATTTTCATTGCAACTGGGTTCATTGATGAAACTTTGAAATAATTAGCACAAAGCTTAACGACTTCATCATTTCTTTCAGTTTCTCCTTTTTTGACCAAATTGTCTGGTCTTGTTACTGGAGAGTCAAAAAATTCAGGTTTTTCGGGTTTTTCCATACGTTTAAAACCACCTCTGCCTCCTCGACCACCTCTACCCCTACCACGACCTCTTGAAAACTTTCCTATTCTATCAGATCCAACAGAATCATCACGTGGTCTTTTATTACTTGCATCTGTAATTGATTGTTAAATTTTTCAAAATAAGCATCAAATTAAATAGTTTTGCAAACTTACCACGATCACCAAACCCTCGATCTCTGCCCCTAAAGCCATCCCTGCCTCTAAAACTATCTCTGTTCTTTTCATAATCTCTACCTCTTTCTTCACCTCTATGTTGTCCACGTTCATAATGTGAGCTCATGTTTCTAAGAAAATATAGAATTAAGATTGTATTATGTAATTTAATACCAGATGTGCATTTTTTTCTGAATCATAAAACATAACTACACTTCTAAGGTCATAAAATGTAATTAGGAATGCTTATAATATCGACATATTGTTTAGGTAGTTCCGAAATTGAAGATTTTTTTCTGTTGTGATGCCTATTGTGGTTTTAAAAATAGGGTTTAAGATTTTTGAAAATAACTTTTTATATTAACAATTAAAAAAAAAACATTTGTCAATATCCAATTTTGAATCATAAACAAGCTCAAGACCAGCTCAATATTTCAAAAGTCATTAAAAATAAACAATTTGTATCTACTGTTTATGCTATATGACTCTTCATGACAGAAAGTGCTGAAGATTGTGAAATGTGAAACTTTAATGAAAATGATCATATTCTTTAGAAGCAATTTAAAAACAGTTTCCAGTGATTTTTGTGTTGAAATTAATTATAGTTTTAGTAAAATTTTAAAATTATTGAATAATAATTGAGTTTAAAATCGAGTAAAATAGGAAGAGTTGAAAATTTGTCACAAAAAGTGCACCATGACTGCAACATATGCAAAATATCAAATTACCTTATCAGTTAAACCTTAAGATTTTTAAAAAGTCTCTTAAACATTTATTGTTTCTCTAAATTATAATTCACTATGTTTTGTAGCATCAATTTATTAAATGCAATCTAGTTAAGTTTCTTAATTCAATGATCGTTTGCAAAAAATCTTTTACAAATTTTATATCCAACCAACGACTTCAAAATTCACAAAAGAACTGAATGATCGAGCCAGATCGAGCTTGTAAAATAATTCTAAAGAATGCAAAAAATTTTTGAATCTCATTAAATTAGCTTTAAAGAATTTCAATTTCATTATTCAGGTAAATTTGATAAAGTTCTGCAGATAAAGTGTATTAATTTCAATGATTTAACTTTTAAAAATAATAATTCAAGGGTTGTAGTTATAAAACTTATGTAACGGCTGTTGTAGATTTTGAAATCTTATCCAAGAGAATATATTTTGAATAAGCATGACTAACATGAATTAACAATAACAACTGGTAACAATTTATTTGCTATTTGTGGAAATGGAGCGCAGCATGTTTTGAATAAAATGTATAAGGCTTAAATAGTTAAAATTGGTTTTAAAGAACTTGATTTTGAGGATTTAAAATGATTTTAAAAATTAATTTAAAACTATATAAATTTGATTTTGAAAAATCTTAAAGTTTAAAATTCAAAATTCCGGTAAAATTTAAAAAACTTTAAATTTGATTTTGATTTTGATTTTAAATTTGAAATAAAAATCAAATATCTTCAAAAAACTTAGCAAAATTAAAAATAAAATCAATTAATGAAAAGTAAATTTGCACAAAACAAAAATAAAGAGTCAAACTGAAGAGTAATGCAAAAGAGAAGATACTTTGTTTATGTTTAAAGTGCTAAAAATTCCATAAGAAAAAATTTCAGTCGAAATGGGACAAAAAATAAAAATAAGTTGTTAAGAAATTAAATTATTTTTTAATTAAGTTATAGATGATGAGTTATAAGAAATAGTGTTTTGTGATGACGAAAGTCATGTATACCAGCTCACAAAAATCGAGCGAAAAAGTAAGTTAATAACTTTTTTTTTGCCTTCATTCCTTTATATTCCAATCGTACCAAAAAATATATATAAAAAATAAAAAAAAATGTTTACCCAATTCTTCTTATTAAGCATTGACACAACGTTCTTAATATTGAAAGGTGATAGAGCATTCATAAATTTTTATTGACATTAAATAATTGATAATCAAAGTGTGAGGACTTCGCAGCTGATAAGGAACCTTTCATATTTATTTAAATTTTCTACTATCAAGTCAACTTCTCGCATATACAAATAAAAAATGTTCTAACAAAACGCCCAAATCGATTTATTTCATTATTCTTCTTCGCTCGTTCAGTCAGTCAGTTCCCACAGATCGAAATTTATGTTTTTTTATTATTAAATTTTCCTCTCTTCTCGCTCGACCATACTGCAGTTGACACATGAAAAACAAAAATACATTTTTTTATTTTTATTTTTTAAAAAAAGAAAAATAATAGAAAAAAAAATCAACGGGTCTACAGTAAGAGGCAGGATGATATCATTTTTTAAGAGCTGTTTATTACGAACCATATTCATTCGAATAGATTCTCAATCGCTGTAAAATAATACTCACTTCATTTTTCTTTATTTTCTATCTGTTTTTCCGACAGCATACAACGCTCTTTTTGATCATGATGAGACTTAATTTAAAGTATGTATTAAGTTCTCTGATTTTAATGGTCACTTGTGTAACGTTGATGTTATGGCATCGATGTGATTTTGTGAGAACATTTCCGAAAAGGTTTTATGGTAAGTTCAATTTATATACATATACACTTCCTCGTGTATTGATAATGAAAGTGTGCTATACGCTAATTTAATCACATTTTTATGACTTTTCTTCTTTCCTTTCTCTTCTTTAAAATGTTTTGCTCAATGTACTGAACTTGCAGCGAGTCAATATCAACAAATAACAGAAGCTGTAGAAATTGATTGTGTCATAAATCAAGAGTATTCAATAGGCTGTCGACGAGAGGGCGATGAAGTTTATCTCCCTTTTTCGTTCATTAAAAAATATTTCGAAGTGTATGGCTCGTTAAATACAATTGACGGTATTACGCATTTTGATTGGAATCATAGTTACGGTAAAGTGAATTTACCGCGTACCATATATGACCCGAAAGGTATTTTTATGTATTTTGAAAACTACAATGTTGAGGTAAGGGATCGCGTAAAGTGCATAAGTGCGAGTGCTGGAGTTCCCATCTCAATACAATGGGAGAGTCAAGGATATTTTTATGCAACACAAATCGCACAATTTGGCTTATCACATTACAGTAAGAATTTAACGGAACCAGAACCAACACGTAAAATAATTGAGGATGCCGATTCGAATCAATTTCAATGGATAACATTGAGGAATAGTTCAATTAGTCGAAATTATTCAGCTGATGTTACAGGAGTTGTCAATTTTGCAACAACCAATCAATTTGATAGTGCAATTTATGCCGATATGGATCATGTCGTCGACCTTATATTCAGCGTCGATTTATATTTTCAACTCAATGCGAGTCTTATAATCACAATGCAAAATCGCGAAACGTTACAATTATACAATTTACATTACATTCTTGCTGACCTATCAATAACTGTACAAGATTCGAACATTTATCATGGAATTGGCATAAATGCCTTGCAAAAATGGAAACGCATAACTCGCGATCTATTTGTGGATGTTCAAAAAGGTGTGGCGGCGTCATACGTCAGTCGTAAGCAAAAAATGAGACGTAATGAATTGAAAGTGGTTAGAATAGCATTTTTGGGTAATGGTGCTTTTGATAATCTAACACTTAGCACATCCGAGCATATACAGCACTTTTATGACGCAGCAGATTGGTTTTTGCGTCATCAAAATCAATCGACTGGTGGCTTTTCCATACCCGTAAGGAGAAGACTTGCATCGGGCTTTGAGGATCTTCAAAAAGGATGGCTCTCTGCGATGGCTCAAGGCCATGCAATCTCACTTTTGTCACGAGCCTTTTATCATTCTGGTGGAAATAGAAAGTATTTAAAGGCAGCTGTGAATGCATTAAAGCCATTTAGAATTCCATCGTCACAAGGCGGCGTACTTGCGAAATTTATGAATATTTTACCATGGTATGAAGAATATCCAACAACTCCAGCATCCTTTGTTTTAAATGGCTTTATATACTCCTTACTTGGCCTTTATGATTTACATCAAGTCGCACCAAAGACATCAAAAGGAGCAAAAGAAGCTGGAATTCTTTTTAATCAAGGTATGGAATCATTAAAGAAAATGATATCATTTTACGATACAGGTAGTGGGACAGTATATGATTTGCGGCACGTTACTCTCGGCTCATCGCCTAATATTGCACGATGGGATTATCACGTTACACATGTCAATCAACTATTACTATTAGCAACAATTGATGATGATCCAATCTTCTCACAAACGGCCGAGAGATGGAGAGGATATATGCTGGGCAAAAGAGCGATGCATAATTAATGAATGAATGAATGTAGAGAGAGACAAATTTATAATATACATATATATTGACAAAAGCTTTAACGTGCTTTTTTTCCAAGTAAGTAGTTTCGTTCTATGACTATTTGCACACATAAATACACATAGGAATGTCTTGTTCTTACTTCTTACTTACTTTCTTTCTTTCTTTCTTTTCATTCATTTGTTTTTCTTCTTCGTCCCTAAAACTTTATCGCTATACAACATTTATTTTTTTACTATTTAACATTATTAACATGATTACGATAATGTATAAATGTCAGTTCTGAGTAGATTTATCTTAATTTATAAATAATTTAACATTTAAATGCTATACATGTAAAATGGTGATTTAGAAGAAAATCTTTAATACCTGTACTTAAGAAATGAATTAGTAATTTAATCATTTCAACTTTTTTTCGTCCATTACTTGCCAGAAGTAAGCTTTAACTTACCAATCTATTTTTTTTTGTTTTTATCATTTTAATTACACTACTTATTATTATTTAATTATAGTTTCTTGTTTATAGGCAAAAAAACTTTTTTAATTTAAAAATAGTTACACAATAAGTTCATCAAAATGGATAATGTTGAAAGTTTTTTGAGTGCAGTTTTGGAAGTAAAAAAAATATATTAGTAGTTATCTAGGAACAACTGCAAGTTGTGTTTTAAGAGGGAAGCTAGATTTCAAGGTTTAATATTTGTAATAAGATCCTAGATGTGTCTCTTAATTAGATGAAGGAAGTGGGTGACTGAATGTTATAAGTGAACAAACCTTTCTAAGTTTGTTAAAATAAGTAGTTTTTGAGAAGTAAAAAAAAAACAACTTTCACTGAACGAACTTTAATTCATAAATTTCAAACCTGAAAAAACTTTTATATGTGTGTCAAAAAATCTAAAAGCTCAAAATTAATCAATCAAAACTTCATTGAATCCTTGTTCAAGAGCATCAATCTCTTGATAATAAATTGAAGTAAATGAAGAAGAAAACGTATTGAAACATAACACTCAAATTCAAATTCTATACTTCATTTAATCATACAAAAAGTATGAAAATTTCATCAGTTTTCCCCAAACACTCTTTTGTAAACACACATCCATAAATCTTGGTTACAAATATTCAAGAGATGAAGGCACATGCATAAATGAAGAGATATGACGTTTTTTTTTTCTTGTGTATGAAAGGAAAGCTCCCTCAGAAGACACTCGATTCAAAGACTTGCGATGAAATTGTTAAAAGCATATAGAATATACTACTTATAAGAAGTTATGATGACTTTCGTTTACTGTCGTACGAGAAGCACATCATGACTGATACTAAAGGTTGTGAATAAATCCAAAGTTTGCACCCAAAAGACTTCCATTATCCATCAATTCTTCTTTTTAGAATATATTCTAATTTAAAATTGATGTTATGCAATTTGAGCTTCGACACAAAGAAAAGTAAAGAGTAAAAAATCATACAGAATTCATAACAATAATGTCACACATGAATAGTACCTCAAAATTAACCTTAACCAATATATAAATAATAATAATAATAATAATAATAATAATGTATAATGTAATGCACGTTTTGTATATATGAGATATCTAGGAACAATAATTATCATTTTAATACAACTTTTTTAAAAACTCTTATGAATGATACATTAAACTTTCTGAAGAAAACAAAACAAAAAAAACAAAATGTTTGGAAAAATAATTTTTTATATGAAAAATAAAATATGTGGAAACAAAGTGAAAAAAAAAATTCTTTCCGACTTGAAAAAGAATCCCTTTCTATGCAATACGATAAAAAAAAACTTTTTTAAAAATGGAAATAACTGACACACATAAAAATACTATTTTTTGGTAAAAAAAAATAAAAATTGTGAAAGAAAATCGATCAAAAAAGTATAAAAAATATGCAATTTCATATTAAAAAAATAAAAAAGTAGTAAGAATTTTAAATAATTGAATAAATGCTATAGGAATGCATAAAATGGAATAATAATGTTATATTTCATATCATATATAGCAAGAAGTATATATCAAACACTTATTATTATTATTGGCATAGTACGCAGACATATTATATTATCCGTTATGAGCAACAAAAAAAAAACGAGAATAATGATGATAATTCAAATAATATTATTGTTCACTTTTCCTTTCATAATAATACACACAATATTTTCCATTCAATTTTCTTCTTCTTTCTCTTTAAAACTTTTTATGTCATCGCCAAAACGATGATCCAAGTCAGTAACAAACCATTTCTGATTTCTAACGGATTTTTACAATTTAAATTTCAATTGACTTCTTAAATTTTTGAATTATCCTAGACACAATTTTAAAGACTTAAAATTTTCCAAGACACAATCTTAACGACTTTTCAAAAAATTGAACTTCCCAAGACACAATCAAACAGTTTTTTAAAATTAATTAAACCAAGACACGTGCTTAGTACTTACTATAGACATAAAATTAGCAGATTTATCAAAAAAAAAAACAATCCTCATTAAACCTTAAAAATCATACATTTAGCAGTTTAAAATCTCAATTATCAAAAAAAAAAATTATCCGTGACATATTTTAAGCAGTTTAAAGTTTCTTAAATTTTTAATTCGTAAGAACTTTTGTCAATTATTTTCAAATTACTTGAATTTAATAGTAGAAAGCTAGTTTAGTTTAGCTAATCGAAGAAAAAATACAGCACAAAAGTCAAAATTTTCCGAGAAACAATTTCAACAAGTAATTCAGTCTAGAATCACGCAGATCTAATCTGCTAAAACATGCGTAATTTTTTGAAAAAGAATTTACAAACAAAAAAGAACATATCAATCTAATTACGTTAATTAATAATAGCTGAACCGACTCTAGAAAATTTGTTTCAAGGTCCATCTTTTTAGAATATTCAATTAATAAATTGATGAATTATAATTAAATTATTAATTAAAATGACAGACCGAAATAGTAGAGAGAACGACTTTAGAGGAACTTCCAATTAAAAATGAAAAAATATGAGAAAAGTCTTAGAAAATATTTCTTTAAATGACTAAGGGAATGTACAGGTTTTTGTTGTTAATTAACTTATGAATGTTAATTTCTCTTTTCGTGATGTTTGTTGAAAAAACAATTCTAACTTTAACTTGTAGCAATTTATTAAAAAAATGAATACTTTTTTATACCTTAATTTTAAGTTTTTTTATGATGAAAAATTGAGAAAAAAAGAAACGAAAAAAAATAATTAATTTAACTAGAATTAGATGACAATAAACTTAACTTATTTGAAAATGAATATGAATTTAAAAGCTTATAAAGTTACGTTCTAGTTTCTAAAAAACAATGTATTAGTGATACTAACTTTATCTTGCCACTTGCTATCTTAACTTTATTTCAAATTGAAAAAAAAAGTTCAGAGAATTATGCTGATTTTGAATTATTTGTATCAAATTTTGTATTACTTACTAGTAAACTGCAAAATAATAATACTGATGGAAAATAAAAAAGGGGAAATCTTTGTCATTCTCAAGATTTTAATCATTTTTATTGAACATTTAATCTTTTTTACAGTCACAACGGTCATTTTAAATTTGAATTAAGTTTCAAAACTGTTCAATAGTTTATCAAATAATTTAAATTTAAGAAAACCGTTAAAAACAAAAAAGTCATTTTGACTAGATAATCACAAAATTATAAAAATAATTAACAAACTATGACACTGTCATATATGGTATTAATTGAGTACGGAATTATATTAGCTTCTGTCTTTCCTCAGCTATTGCTTCTTTTCGCAATTGAACACAATCATCGGTAATGAATCTAAAAATAATAAAGAAAATTATTAATAGATGCAAAACAAGATGTGTAAATGGCATGTTTCCTACTTGTAGAATAAAATTGTAATTGGAGCCGACGATAGATGCCATAATGAGTGAGCATCGAATGCCCATAGGACTGGTGGGAAGTCATAAACTTCCAATATTACGGTCGATAAAGCTAATGTTACAAAAACTAGCATTTTCCATACATAACGTCTCTTTTTAATTTGCGACAAAGACCAAACTACCCATCCTATTCCTCCAATCACCTATGAAGTAAATTAAATCATTAATAAATTTAATTCAACTTAATGACTTAAAAGGTTTATTTTTACTCCTGTAAGAATGTTAACTCGCATGTTGTATGAATAATCGAAAGCGTTGTAACTTAGGTAAGCGAAATGATTGAGGAAGTAGAGTACACACAATAATGTTATAGCTACAGTCATCCTTTTCGATCTACCATGAATCACTCTATATGCAAAATTAGTATAAACCTTATCATTAGTCTGGATCGTTTATAAATGGTGTCCATCAATTATGAAGTTTTGGAATAGGAAGGCCGGGAGCAATCCCATTCTCTTGATGGACATCATTTCCTTAAAGCAGTTATTGTGACAGTTCATATAAACAGAGGATATTACCTAAGAATCATGCACCAAAAAGAAGCTAAGACCATTGAGTAGGCAAACACATAGTCAAACAATTCAGTTAAAGGATAGTCTCGAGCATGAAACACTGTCGACCATGTCCATGCATTAAGACAAATGACAGAGAAAGTGTGCCATAGCTTGTAAAGTGGTGCATCTGGTCTGACATCATGTCTAAATTGTAAAAGTCCTTTGTAGTGCACAAAAAAGTTGAGGAGTGAAAAGAATACTGATGCTGGTTCCTGGATGCCTAATATCCTAACAAATGGCCACTTTCCATGAAATTGAGGAATCTTCCATTTACGTGCTATAAAGGCATTCGTTGTTTTATGCATGCATTGATATTTACACTCATCGCGGCAATTCCATGTTATTAAATTCTCAAACGTGCTAATTTCAAAGTTCCTATATCTCCACAAATCTATCAAGTGATCAATAAATTTCTCTTCCATGCCTTTCTTATACAGCATTACGTCTAAAAATAAATCGCAATTGAAGGATTTTCAATCGTCTTCGATTATTCAATAAGAGGAAAATTTACTTACTGTTTTGACATGTTTTCTTAAGACAATTATTGACACAGTTCCCATAATATGGACTTTTATCACCAGGAGATCCAGTTACCTGTCCTGTCAGGCTGATTATTATTACAGAGAGAACAAAGTAAAGGAATCTTTTAATATAAAACATTCTTATAAGAATTTAGGGATGAATGTGTGAAAATTTTGTTTATATTCATTGACTTCGGCACTACCAATCAGTTCCTAAAAGTAGGGGGTTCTCGAATTGAGTGATTGATGTAAACCGAACTTTTAATTCAAATCGATGATGAGAACCTTACAAATTTTATTATGAAACATTTGTGAGGTTTCTGAATTGAATGCACAAAAGTCGTTATTCCTGTACAAATTGTACTTTTCTAAACCCAGGCTGTTAATATTGTGACCCCCTGTATACCTTTATGACATTCGTAGCTGTTTCTCCTGCATAGTTAAAAGAAAATTACGAGATAAATAGGAAAATTTTCTATAGTTCATATATTGTTAATTTTAAACACTTTTAGCCTTAACTCCAGCGATGGCAACCAAATCATTAGTAATAACACTGATGCTTCCACACAGAACATTAGCAGTATCATCAATTTATAGTATGTAAGTGGATAAAATTTCATAATTTTTGTTTTGTCTTAATCATAATAATTTTTTTTATTTACTTTTCAGGACAAAACGGAACTTCCATATAGGAACAGCCAATAACTTTGAGTTTACAAAGATATCACAGCTAAAGAAACGGAGAGAGTTTTATGGCAAACAGTTGGTTGGGTTAGTTTCATTTAAACAACCTTGATCTATTTTCTCTCCTTGACAATTCTTTTTTTTTCCTATGACCTTGAGATTTCTCTTGCTCTTCTTATCGTCTTGTATTGAAGCTTCTCTTCATGTCTAATTTGATTCAATCAATGTAATTTTATTGATTGACTGTGTATACTCAAATCCTCTTTTACTGGATTTTCCAAAACGGTTTTGAAGGAGTTTAAATCTCAAGATCTTTTTAATCTGATCTTTAATCACACAATTTATTTTAAATCCTAAGATTAATTTTAAACACTGATTCAGAGTTTCGAAACAGGTCACCTGTGACAGGTGAGAACCTTTCAATTCCTTGATAATTTGTATGGTTTTGTTAAAAAAAACCTTATAAATTATCAAGGAATTGTAGGGTTCTCATTTGTCACAGGTGCCTGTTTCGCAGCTGTGCACTGATTACAAGTCATAACTAATTCTTTGTTTAACTTTTCAGCTATTCCATGGAACAAATGTACTCCGTTGTCTGTAAATTAATGCTTTGAATAAAATAGTTTATTTTATCACTAATGAATTTTTAAATATTTGCAGCTGACGTAGAGAATTATTATAAGTTCGTGCCATTCTGTAAAAAGTCGATGGTTTATAACAAAAAGGACGGATTCTTAACGGCAGATTTAGTGATTGGATTTCCTCCATTATCAGAAAAATATACCTCAAATGTGACGATGGCAAAACCTGGTTTAGTCAGAGCTGAATGCAACGATGGACGACTTTTTAGCTACCTTTTAAATAATTGGAAGTTTTCGCCTGGTGTCAAAGATATCCAGCAATCATGTGTCATTGAGTTTGAAGTATCGTTTCAATTTAAGTCAGCCATTCATTCACAATTAGCAAACTTCTTTTTCGATCAACTTGTGATTCAAATGGAAAGAGCTTTCGTTGATGAAGCTGAGGAAAGGTACGGAGCACCAGCTATAAAATCTCATGTTCTTGAGGCTACTAGTCGTGTTGTTTAAATGTTGACCATATAAATCGTTAAATAAATTATTATGTACATAAATAATAAATTCTCTAAGTGCAAAAAGAACAGTATGGTTTTATTAATAAATTACATTTGACCACATTGTGTGATTGTTACAGGGAGTCGAGGCTTATTGGAACCTATCGTAGGTACATTCTCTATCTTTCTCACGATAAGCATGCCATCTAAAATTCTACCAAATACTACATGCTTATTATCAAGGAAACTGCATTTCGCACATGTGATGAAGAATTGACATCCATTTGTATCTTTTCCAGAATTAGCCATACTTAATAAACCCGCACTATCATGCTTTAAGGTGAAATTCTCATCTTGAAATGGTCCATCATAAATGCTTATAACTCCAGTTCCATCACCATGAACGAAATCACCAGCTTGTATCATAAAATCTTTAATAACTCTATGGAATGCAACTCCTTTATAACCGAGAGGAATTCCTGCAAATCAGATAATTAGTTCCACTGGATCTTCTTACTGGATATTAAAATTGATTGGATATATATCTAGTAATTACCTTGAGGCTTATGTTCTCCAGTACAGAACTGTCTGAAATTCTCAGCTGTCTTTGGTACAACATCCGCAAATAGCTCAATAATGATTCTTCCAATTTCTGGATGATTAAAAAGTTCCGGTAAGTCCAAAATCAATGAATTTATGACTTAAACTGACCTGTATTTCCTATTGACACATCTAGAAAAACTACTGGATTATTAGGATGTCTCAACTGGCTTTGAATTTGATTCCAAGTAGGCATATTTAATTAAATCAATTAATTTGAAGAATTCAGAGCTAAAACGTTTGACACAAGTTTGTTTGTAAACAAAACTTTGCGTAGTTCTTGCCCTTTATATTTTTTAACGTTTATTTTGAATCCAGACATTATTAATATATTTTTTACTTCTCCAAATATGAGTAAATTAAAGCTTAAATTACATCAAAACCATACAAGCTATAACACAATTAATAATTTTACAGATGACAGTGAAATGATGAAATTAAGAGACTTGCAAGAGGATGTAGTCAACATGAGAAAATCAGTTCCCGAAGAAATTGTTAAATTAATGGAAAGACACAGCAAGATGCTTAAAATCAGACGGGTATTCTTATAGTTGATTTATAAATCAGTAAAAATGAACTTAAAACCAACATCTATTAGCATTTAAGTCTTATCCGGAACTTAAAAGCATGATCCAGTTGGATATAAGTCAAGCCTAGAGCTTTCTTTTTTCCTAAGGAAAATGCGCTAATTAATAAGTAAGATTATTGTATTTTATAGACTGAAATTGAGAGTGAACGAGATGAAACTATAAAACCGAAATTCAAGCGAAGACCATTAAAAGTCAACGAGAGCTTGCTTAATTTAAATCTACAGGAATCTGTGAGGAAGTAACATTTATTTGGTTCTTAAATATCTTACAAACATTTCATTAAATTATCCACAGATTATTAAGATAAATGCGAGCAATGATGCACTGGAAAAAGTTAAGCAGTTCTTGAAAAAACCTGATCAGCACTCAAAATGAAACATTGACGACAATTTTTGATACATTAACCGTAAGCATGGTAGATTCTATAAGTATAAGTAACAAAGATCATTAGTTGTTAAGGTCATTTAAAGTGCCGAATTAAGAGAAATAAATCCTTAGTACAAACATTTTTGATAACTATCGTCGGTGACTTTTTCTGCAGCTCCTTATTTGTTAGGATTTGGAGGTAAAAGTCTATTTGATTCTGTGGAATAAAGTACATTAGTTAAGTAGCTGAGTGCTATTAGATCATTTAAAATTAAGATTGACTCACCAAGTGCTTCATCTCATTGATGACAATTTTGTAAATATTTTCAGAAGGTATGAAGACCGTCGATTTGCGGATATTGAATGAATAATAAGTTGTATACAAAATTCCGAAATTTTTGATCGCTTTGACTGTCTCTTTCTCGACGAATGAGGATAATGCGTAGACTGACAGGATTATAGGTAGACAGAACACAATATGCAGGCTTAAACTACTCAACTGCTTATATATTAAAAGGTAAAATATAATGGAACTGCTAAGAATCTTGATGTACTTGCTGCGATGTGAATGCTTAGCTTTTGAATCTTGAATTGTCAGATCCATGTACATGTCTGTCGACTGCATTTGATAATTATATTTTGAATCCTCAGTTTTAATCATTTTTCAATGTTATTGCAATTTGTTTATGCTTTAAAAAATGAACACAAACTAGATATGCTGTTCACACATGCACGAACCCCCTTGTTCTTATAGGAAGTAGCTAACATTAATCCTATTAGATTTTTGATATCCAATTAGGTTCAATGAACTTCCGTTCTTATCATAGCAACGTCCATAAAACATTACAAAACATAATTAATTTTTATGCACAACATAAACTTGCCATAATTGATCATATTTCCTATAAATAATTTATATACGGAGCTTCTTGGCTAGTAAAGTGTAAGATACGTTAGTAAGCAGTAATACAACTTGTTGAATAAATAGTCTCCGTCCATATTTAAGCCTACAGCGTCATTTAAGTTTTTACATACAAAATAGTTTCATTCTTACATTCGAGACGATATCTCGTGTGCATTTAAATAGAAAGTCAAAAGTTTAATAGACAAAGAAGTGAGTCAATTATAATTTAATTATGGACATTCACAATTATTGTAGAATGACTGACTTTGGGAGTGCTACATCCAAAAAATTCAACAATTCTTTGTGCATTAATAATTTTGGGGTATTTCATAATGATCATCGGAAGTGCAGTCATGCATGTCCACAAAAAATAGTAAAGCAATTTGGTTGCATTGTCTGCATAGACTCATTATCGATCCACACCTGAAATTTGATTGTGGCATTTTTTGACTGTATTAGTGTAATGAAGCATATCATGAAGCAGTTAGTGATGTAAAATACCTTTGGTGTACTATAAAGCTGTTTGTAGAAGAGACACAATTTATTTTTGCAAGTGATATAATGAATAGGAAGAGAGATTATTGGATATTATCTTGGTAGTGAAAGAGTTTGTTGAGTTTTGATCATTAATTTGTGCATTAACACTTGGTTTGTGATATAATTTTGCTTGCTTGTGTGTCTGCAATGTTTGTGAATCAATTTGATTGTTCTAGAAACTTTTGACTTATTGCTGTGCTTATGTTGAGCCAGTTTATTAATTTGATGGATTTAATTCTAAATTCGATCGATTAATTTTAATCCTATGGATTTAAGTTTAATCCGATGAATTTAAAACCAAATCCAATCAAACTCGAAACAGTTTTAATTGTAAATTCCATAAAAATGACCAGCAAATCATTATGAATCATAGAATTCTCATCGTGATACAAATTTACATCAAGCTGCTACACAGTAAACAATAAGCATGCAAATTGAGAAAAATATAAGTTAACTTCCAAACTGCTCAATACGTCCCTGAGCATTGTATTAATGCTTCCAAAGTAAATCTGTTGCCATAGCACAAAACAATTAAGCTATTGCACAATAACTGGCAGCTTACGCGAAAAAATAATATATTTTGTTATTATTATTAAGGGCAATTCTTTGGATTACTTTCGGAAAATTTTCAGCAAAAAATCGAAATTTTATTGATTTTTCCCATCAGAGGCACTGATTTTATGATTCTTATCGATGTAAAAATATAAAATGTACACTCCTTTTGATATCATATACTTCTAATCGCTGTATTAATTAAGTTATTTGGATTCTTTTGTCAATAACTCGATGACAGAAATCGGAATTTTCAATTTTCATCATCCGAAGAATCAAAAATTAGAGAAAACTATTGATATCCACATTGAATAACTTTTACTGAGTTATAGAACAGACAAAAATCTTTAATTAGGTTGCTTTTCTGTGTGCTTTAAGTCAGTAATTAATGAAATATTTCAATTCTTTGAAAAATTTCCTTGTGTCATCGAGTTATAAAGAAGCTTTTTTTTGTCTTAATCCGTGAAAAAATACAAAATTTTCAAACATATTTTTTCAATTTTTCACTTAATTTGGGTGAGTTGTAACATTTCAATAGATCACTTGTAAATAATTAATTATGCTTAATGATCTACGAAAGTTCTGGCTTATTATTCCTTCACAGTAATATGAAATTAAAGAAAACATTTTATTGGCACAAAACTCATTGACATTGGATTATGAAAGCTCATTTTTTTCAAATTCCACTCATCCAAAGAATTGCCCTTAAGCATCAGCAGTACATCGCATACAAAACTTGTGCTGGATATTTTGTTATTTTATTTTTCTGCTTAACAATCATTACTCATCGCTTATAATATCTTGAAAAAGTAGTTTTAATAGCATAAACATCTGTCATTTACAGTCACAATGGGAGTCTCCGGACGTGCGGATTTCTGCTCACAGCTAGTAAAGTATGGAATGTTCATCTCGAACTTGATAATATTCGTGAGTATATTTTCTTTATTTTTTCCTATTTCGGATGGCGGTTCCTTGAACTCTATCCATTAAGTTTCTGTTCAAAACTGGTTCTATTTCTCTTACTTTTTATTTTATTCTATACAGATTGGCGGAGCAATTGTATTTGTGATTGGTTTGATTACGATTGTTGACCGCAATTTCCTTAGTGAATTACTTGGTACAAATCTATTTTCGGGCGCTGTTTACGTGCTTGTAATTACATCAGCCCTTGTTTGTCTTCTCGCATTCTTCGGATGCTTCGGTGCTGTCAAGGAAATCAAATGTATGCTGTTAACGGTGAGTAATTGCCTTTACTGGTAGGCATAGTGTCACATAACGACAAGAAACTTGATTTTTTGTTGTTATATATTTTTTAACAAATGCCTGCCTGCCTCAGAATTGCATAGATGATGAAAGAAGAAGAAATATATACGAAACAAAAATTGCGCGCGTATTTCATTCCTCGATTCGCTGACCGTGACCTTGGAAATTTTCGCATTCATACATTCACTACAAGCTTCTTTGCTGTATAGTATTTTTTATGACTGGTGTGTGCTTTTTGCTATTTTGTGGTCTATGCATTTTGATGAGGCTGGAAAATTTACTTATTCTACAATATTTTATACTGATTAAGCTTGTTAAGCTTGACAATTTTATAAAGCATGGATATGAAGGATTTTTGAAAAGCCGTTATTTTTAAATAATCTCGTGTTGAAAACTATACAAATTCAATGTTGTAAAACTATTGAAATGTTTTGGAATTATTTGTAATTTTAAGGTTTTAAAAATTCAAAAAATAACGTATTTTTAAACAAAGCCAAATTTAATTGAAAATTCTCGTTTTGAATAATCTACATTAACCACAAAGCAATGCTCGAATTATTTTAATGCGCTCGAGATGATTTATAGTCATGACATATATACTTACGCATTTAAAAACCGCACATGCTAGTTGATTCACTCCAATTATAATTGGAAGTCCATATAAAAATCTATGACAATGACCCGAATTAGTTTATAGACCGAATAGTACGCGAAATGCAAAATAATGATAATTAATGGTTACATGAACCACATGATTTATATTTTTGTTTATTTAATTTTTCAGTACTTCATACTGCTTTTCTTGATATTTGTGACGATGTTGATTGGCGGAATCCTTGGATATGTTTTTCGTGAAAAGGTCGAGCTCACAATGAAGCAAGAAATGTATTCATCAACGAACCTGTATGGAGTCAGACGACAAATAACAACAGCATGGGATACGACACAAACGCGCCTCAAGTGTTGCGGTGTCGAAACATTTAGAGATTGGAAAGGCAAATTGCCACTTTCTTGTTGCCAGGAAATTGATCGAGACGGAATTCAACGAAAGCCTTGTCAAGATCATCCAACATTACAAAATACATACAACAATGGATGTTATGAAGTCGGTTTCCAATTTATACGTGATCGCGCAAATGTAATCGGTGCATCCGGAATAATTGTTGCAATCTTAATGATATTCGGCATGGTGTTCTCGTGCATGTTCTTTAATATGATTGAATGATGGAGCACAACAATGTCTAGCAACGATGACTCAACGCAACAATATGTGTACCTTATAAATTGACGCACATAATTAACTGCTCTCATATAAAACATGAAAAAATAATCAACTTGTGACATTCGAAAGTTCAAATGCCTCGTAGGAAATTAATATCTACTAGATGATGTCAACGCATTTTCTCCCTCAAACGTTCGAGCTCTTAAAGTTGATTGAAATTAATTAAATTTAAAGATGTTTGATCTTGTTTTTCTTGTTCCTTTTAATTGCTTAATTTTTCGTAGAATTCTTTATGTTTTAAGAAACAAATCCAGAAGATTTTTCAATTAATTCATTTCAATCAAGTTAAGGTTCAACATTTGAAACACCCACAACAGCATTTGATGATCAGAACCATACAAATGTAATTTCAAAAACATTACAACAGTATTAATATAACGACTAAAATAATTCAAAATCTTTCAAAACTTAAAACCGTACAACAGTTCTGAAAATGATACATTCCAATCCCGAGAAAAATGCGTTGAATTGCTTCCATTTTTTTAACAATGATCTGACATGTAAACATATTTTTTATGATATTAAGATTCAATCTCTATCTCCTTTATTTTTAGAACTTTTACCTGATCAATTTACTTACAATTAAATAAATCTAATTAAAGAGATACAAAAATTATGTTCGTAAATTTTATAAGACAAAATGAAACGTATCCGTCCATATTAAATGTATTAATTAAGTTAATGAATGAGAGTTTGTAGTAGATATAGAAATAGAAATTAATTCAAATGGAGATCCACACAATTAAATAAAAGATGTAATGTCGAAAGTTCTGATAAAGTTGTGGATCGTAATCTCGATGTGTCTTAATAATTAGTGACTTGTAGTAATTAGTACTATGTTAAAGTATATTACAAAATAAAACAAAAAATTTCAAAATTATTCCAAGTAATTCAACCTTTGCGTGACTCATTTCAATCACATTTCGTTCACTTTTCTTCCACAGCATTCGTCTTTGCGATGTTTTTCTAATGCATCAAGATCAAGGAACTTCCCTTTACAATAGTGGCACATCAAGGTTCCTTTGGATGTCAATTTTGATCCATTATGCATCATAGACATGTGATTATTGAGACTAGTCATTGTTGTGAATAGCTTATTGCAGATTTTACAGACATGATTCTGTTTGTGCTGCTTATGCTGTGTGAAGACATGAATACCAAGTTCTTTTTTTGATCTGAGCACTTTGCCACAAAAGCACTTAAGATTGCTGGATGATATTTGGCAGGATTTAAGATGAACTTGCATCTGTTCATAATTATGGAATTTCTGGCTACATGTTATGCACATAAATGAACGATTATTCTTTGTTGATGTTTCTGGACTAGATTCTGGAATTGCCTCAATAATGACTAGCTTCTGTGTTGGCTGTGCTTGAAGCAACAACTTCTTTGGTGGTGATTCTTCACTTTTGGGTTTTTCCTGTTCTGCTTTTACAGCCTGTGCTGATGTTGACGGACTTACTTGAATCTTCTTCACATTCAAATTTGTGTATTTCTTAGCTATATCCTCAAAAATTAACTTCTGTTCTTCCTTAACTTTTGGACGCATCAAATTTTCAATTTTAAGGATTTTCTGCGTGTCTCTTATGTTTTCTAAGTTATACACAATATTTTTGACTGTTTGATAGCATGTTGTACATACTTTTGATATATGTAGCAGTGATTCGTCATTGATGTTTATCTAAAAAATCCAGGATATTAATTATTTGTATGTTAAGGACAAATTAATGATTTTTTACCAGATTTGGAATGAAATTTGAGAACTTTTGTATTGCCTCATGATTTACATCACAGAAAATAAAGCCTTGCTTGCTGCAGAACCTGCATATTTGTGTTTCAAACATTTCCATGATCCTGTTCCTTTATTTGTTTACTGCAGTGTTTATCAACCTTTTTCGGACTACGGTTCTTTGTGTGACACATCACGGAAGTTGAGAAGCACTGAAAATAACCGTCTAAATTTGAATTTCTTAGCGGTACTTCTGTTAAAAAAATTCAAATGACCTTTAAGCGCATTAGATCATGCTATTAAGTTCCAGACATGATTTAAATGCTACTGGATGTTGGTTTTTAAATCTGGATATGACTAAATACTACAGGATGTTGGTTTTTAAAAATGCGCTCAGTTCGTTCGTTTACTTCTGTAGTGGCAGTTTTTATACTTGTTTTTGTAAACATTGTTGATTTTGCCGGTATTGTGAAATTTATTAATTAAAATCGAAAATGGAAAACAAAACAGAAGATTTGCAGAAAGAAACAGTTGAAGATAAAAAGGAAGACACACAGGAAGATGAAGAATCAATGGATATGTCTAATTTCGATCAAATAGAGAAAGTTTTAGAAAATGATTTTTGCACAAATACAAAATTCTTGGATTATGAAAGGCAGATGTTCCTGGACATAATTTACAATGATGGACTAGTCATATGTGCTAAGTAAGTCTGTACTTTGATTTTAACTCCTTGATTAACTTACAATAAGGTGTTATTTTCAGAGGAATCAGCTACGAAAGAGTTCTTCTCAATCTATTCAAAGTTTATGTACATCCAGAAAACCTGATTATCGTCTTAAACAGTGATGATTACGAAGAGAAGTACTACACAAAATTATTGGATTCACCAAATGTACATCAAGCATCCAGTAACAGCACAGAACGTGAGAAAACGTATTTAGCAGGTGGAGTTCAGTTTATTTCGACACAAGTGCTGGTCTTAGACTTGCTAAGAAACAAAATACCTGTAGAATTAATAACTGGCATAATTGTTTTGAGAGCACATAAAATCATTGAGTCGTGTCAAGAAGCATTTGCATTAAGACTTTATAGACAAAGAAATAAGAAAGGCTTCATTAAGGCATTTTCATCATGTTGCGAGGCATTCACAATGGGCTATGGACATGTCGAAAAAGTCATGAGAAACATTTTTGTACGAGACTTATTCCTATGGCCTAGATTTCATGCTTTAATTCAGAAAAACTTGAAAACTTACGAGCCAATTTCAGTCGAATTTCATATCCCATTGACACTGAAAATGACACAGATCCAGACAAACTTAATTGATTTAATGAACTTCCTTGTTAAGGAATTGAAAAGGATCAATCCAACTGTAGATTTAGAGGAAGTAAGCGTTGAAAATTGTGTCTCGAAACGATTCCAAAAGATACTGCAGTCACAAATGGATGTTGTATGGGATCAGCTTAGTTCAAAGACAAAGATGTTGATTAGGGATTTACAGATACTCAGAAGCTTGATGTTGTAAGTATATAGGGATTTGATTATTAATCCAAAGATTAATTTTTTAATCCTTTTCAGCACTGCAATTTACGGTGACTCGGTGACCTTCTTTTCAGCACTGAAAAAGTACCGATCTGCAGACTATGCATTAAATAATAGTGGATGGACTTTACTACATGCAGCAGAACAAATTTTCAAACTATCAAAAGAGCGTGTATACAACAGCAAAGATGAATTCGATCCTGAATCTTGTCCAAAATGGAAAGCACTAAGTGACATTTTGAAAGTTGAAATTCCTTCAGATATTAAAAGCATAATTCAGGATGAAGCCTATGAATTCGATAAAGAGAAACAAATTAAAATTTTAGTGCTTTGTAATGATTCCAGAACATGTCATCAAATTAATTATTATCTAACTCAAGGATTGGAAAGGACGTTATTCTTTGCAGCTTTAAAAAATGATGTGTCAGTCCAAAAATTAAGCAAAAAGTATGAAAAAGTTACAGGGACTGGAAGTGTTAAGGATTGCATGAATGTGAAGCAAATTCAAGATCCTCAACCTTTAGCACCGACTGAAAAAAGCAAGGAATCTGAAAAAATTCCATTGCGACTAGCTGAAAAAGTAGCAAGCAAGCGAAAAGTACATGTAAATCAGGAAACTAAGAATAGCGAGGAGCTACAAAGTGTAACGAGCAAAGATACTTTGGATTTTGAGAATACTGAAGATACTGATATTTTAAAAGATACGTTTATCCTCACAATGTCACAGCAAATCAATGGAAATGAGACAGTTCTTGCTTGTGATTTTGACACAACTTTGAAGGATCATGTTAAATTTGAGACTTTTCGAGATGATTGTCTTGAAGAAAGCCTGAATGTATCAAATATTGTTGCTAAAATGGAAAAACCAACAGTATTTATTCAAACTTACCGAAGTGATATCCTTAGAATGTCCTCTTTAAGTCAGACTCTTCAGGTTAGTGCTTATAACATTTAACGGTTTTGTAACATTTAAACTTTTAAAACATTTGTATGGTTCTAAAATTTAAATTTCAAAAAACCGTTACAAATTTCGAAAGATTATGACTTGATTCTGAATCTCCATAGGAAATGTCACCAGACTACGTTGTTCTATACAACATCAACATCAGCGCTATCCGACAAATTGAAACATTTGAAGCTCGATATCAACGACACAAAAAGAGAAGGCTTAAAGTATTTGTATTGATGCATGGTAAGACGGTCGAAGAACAGAGCTTCTTAACAAGTTTGCGTCGAGAGAAGCAAGCATTTGAGTTGTTAATAGAAACTAAGAGAAAAATGGTGGTGCCTGAATATCAAGATGGAAAAACTGATATATTGGATCCACACAGGGAACTAGAAGAAGATGAAAAGGAAGTTGATACACGAAAAGCTGGTGGACAAAGTTCTGATGTCAAGAAAGAAAATCCAAGAATAATCATTGATTCCCGAGAATTTAGAAGTGAATTGCCATGCTTAGTACATAGAAGTGGATTAGAAGTTGTTCCAGCTATGATATCAATTGGCGATTACATTATAACTCCCGACATTTGTGTAGAAAGAAAGTCAATATCGGATTTAATTGGTTCCTTAAATTGTGGTCGACTGTACAATCAGTGCCAACAGATGACTCGATTCTATTCGAAAGCAATTTTACTGATTGAATTTGATCAAAACAAGTCATTCCATTTACAAGGCAGATACATGCTGTCTCGTGATTCTGAAAGTATGAATCTAGACATCATGCAAAAGTTACAGCTATTGACTATTCATTTTCCAAAATTGAGACTTGTTTGGTCACCAACATGCTACGCAACAGTTCAGTTATTTAAGGAACTAAAGCTACACAAAGAGGAACCAAATATTGAGCAGGTTCTTAAACAAACTGGGACAGATGAGGATCCAATGCAGGAATTAGCTGTCGCCAGTGACAATTACAACACAAATATTTATGATTTCTTAATTAAACTCCCCGGTGTCAATTCAAGGAACATCCACGGCTTAATGAGAAATGGCAAAAATTTTAAGAATCTCCTAAAACTCACACAGGCTGATTTGTCAGACATTCTTGGAAGTGTCAAAGATGCAAAGTCATTCTACGATAGTTTTCATAGTGCACCAAAGCAAGTCAAAAAGGTTGAGGAAAAGTCTTATAAACAGAAGAAGCAAATGAGGAAGTACTGAATGCTGGTTATTATTAAGTTAAGGAAGTGATGTTGTTCTGAATAAAGTTTTTATTAAGTTTATTGACTTTTTGCATTTTAATCCAGCTTAAATCTAAATATTAGTTCAGTCAACAGTTCCAGTTTCCTTTAATCATGTCTGCTTGTTCTTATCTTCATGGGCTTTTGTCAAATGTCTCTCAAGATCAACTTTATATTTAGCGCTGTAATTACAAAATTCACAATTATGAGCCTTTGGTTGATGAATATTTTTATGGACGTCCAGCAACTGTATAGATGAAAATGTCATCTCACAAAGTGGACATTTAATGTTCTTCTCAGCCTTATGTATCTTGTTCAGGTGAACTCGAAGTTGATTTGAATTTGCTAGGACTTTTGGACATAAGTCACATTTAAATGTTTTGTCACTTTCGACATGAGCAGTCAGCAAGTGCATGTTAAGGTTCTGTTTATGAGCATAAGCCTTTGTACATCCGTCATAATGGCAGTTCCATACTTTTTCGCCAGTATGACTTTTAAGATGAGACATTAATACTGAATGGGAACTAAATACTTTATCACAGCTTGCACAGTTGAATCTTGGGGAATTTATCGACTGATGCTTCCTCTTGTGAGCATAAAATGAGTTGTAAGTCTTGAATGCCTTTTTGCAGTCCTCAATATCACATAGAAATTTTCGTTCACTTAAATGAGTCTGCATATGAAGCACCAACAGTGTCTTTTTCATAAACTTCTTGCCACAATGAAAGCACTCGAAATCTCTAGTTGCATTATGGCTACGTACATGCTCATTATACTGCTGACGATATTTTGTAGAGAATCCACAAATGTGACAGATTTTTCCAGAATCTAGACGATTCCAATCGCCGCTTGAGTGCTTTAACAAATGAGCTTCTAAGTTTTGTGGAGTCTTAAAGGCATTCGTGCAGATGTTGCATCGGAAATTTTTCTCGGAATGGACTGGAAGATGTGATTTAAGGGCCATTTGACTAGAAAACTTCTTTACACAGTCCTTGAATGTGCAGATGAAGATAGCCTCTGTTGCTTCCTGATTATGAGAGATTTGATGCTGCTTAAAATAGCTAAGGGAACTAAACGATTTCTGGCAAATCTCACAATCAAACTTTTGTCCAGAATGGATTCTAGCATGTGAAACTAAATTCCCTTTGACATGAAAGGATGCATTACATTCTGAGCATTTAAATCTTTTGTCTTCTTCGTGGCTTCTTTTATGAACTTTCAGAGCTTTAGGATTTTGATAAGCTCGCATACATCCAGTAATTGAGCATTTAAATGGTTTTGTGTCATTATGGAAGTCTCGTGCATGAATGACAAGCTTTGATGGACCTGAAAACTCATCGTCGCATGTCATGCATTTTATTGAGAATCGCTTTGAACTTTTTTTGGTGATTTTCTTTTCAGAAAAGCAATCAACTTGAATTCCTTTATTATCTACACTGCTTACACTTTCTGGAAGTGATTTAGAACTGCATTCTAGTAATTCCTCAAAGTCTGGCTTCAAATCATCCTCATTCATATAGTCTGTCACATAATCTTCATCAAAAAGATTCGTGTCTATGAAATCGTCGAAAATTTGGAACTTTGTCTCAAAATTGATGTTCTTAATGAATTGTTCTGAATTTTCACACTTTTGCTTGAAGCTGCATGCTATTTTAAGTTCATTAAGACAATCGCTGCATATCAGATTTGGCTTAAAATCGAGCTGGAAGTTTTTTATTTTTACTGGATGTCAAAAAAAATTATGGATTTTTATTCTTACGTCTAAGTTGCTGCATATTTGCTGAATCAAGCTCTTGATTGTTGAATTACCGATATATTCAGTGAAGCTAAATGAATTAAATGCAGACTCTTCTAGACATACTCTACAACAATTCAAAATATTCATGGCTGATTGTACTAATGTAAAGAACTGAACTCTTTTCACCTTCTTTGTTATTGTTTACAGCAGTGCTTCTTAACAGTGAAAATCACGGAATCCATAGTCAGTACCGCGAAAAAACAAATACCATCACTTACTCTGAATTCGACTTTATTGGTGCAGTCTGCAAAAATCTAAAGTTCATTCATTAATTTACACAATTTGAGCCGGTTAAACATTCCATAAAGTCATTTAAAGTATCAAAATGCCAAAGGCAGTGTGTGTTCTTGCTGGAGATGTTAAAGGAACAATCTTCTTTCAACAAGCTGTAAGTTTTTATTACATAAAATCATTCTGAAGTGCTTTTTACGACAAACCTAATTAGTGCTAATTAGATTCTTAAATTCAATGATAAATAAGCATGTAGAAAGAGACAGAACAATAAAAGTGACTTGCACAATAAATTATTAAGTATTCTCGTTGTTTCTATAGACTGGATCAAATGAAGTTCAAGTGTCGGGAGAAATTTCCGGCTTAAAACCAGGATTACACGGTAAGTTCTATGCTATTATATCTATTGACTGAGAAATGGAATTAGTTGCCCTTAGTAGTAGAGTGTAATAGTTCTAATAAATTGATTTTACAGGCTTCCACGTTCACGAGTTTGGTGACAATACAAATGGATGTATGTCTGCTGGACCTCATTTTAATCCATTTGGAAAGGAACACGCTGGACCTGATGATGCTGATAGACATGTTGGAGATTTAGGAAATGTTACAGCCGGCGATGATGGTGTTGCTAAAATTGATATTAAGGATAAAATGATTTCATTGTCTGGTGAATTGAGGTAGCTTTTCTATAGAATCGGTTGCTTTACATGGGCTTACTAGTTGTGCTTATTTATGAGCTTTGGGATGTTTTGTCTTTTTTCTGGTTTTCATGTTGATTTTATAGGCCTGTTTAAATTTAGAAGTGCTATTTTTATCTTGCGATCTATTTTTAAAAAGGTTTGTCGGTTTTTTGACTAAAAGCTTTTAAGTCGAGGATCAAAAAGTTAAGTCAAGAGCTTTAATTATCAGCGCACAGTTAGACTCATTAATGTTGTTATGCGATAAGAAGTGTTTTGTTTTCTTAGCTTCTTTTGGGATTCTTTGGAACAATCTTTCCTTTAATGTCAAATGACCAATGTGTTCGAGGATGTTTATAGCCATTTTTAAAATAAATCTTGATGCAAGCAATTAAAATCATATTAGGGACATATGGAGCATAACTTAGAACTTTCTAGGAATAGTCAACCAGATGCACACTTAAGTAGAGTCAAGAATTTGGTTACTATGGATCACATTTATAATTTAATGCCAATTATAGGACTTCTAGTATTAACAATTTTTATTTCCTTGCAGTATTCTTGGTCGCACACTCGTAGTTCATGCTGATCCAGATGATCTCGGACGTGGTGGACACGAATTGAGCAAAACAACTGGAAATGCTGGTGGACGTTTAGCATGTGGTGTCATCGGAATTTGTAAGGAATAAGAATCTTCAATAAAAAATTATAAATCGATGAATTACAAATGAAATTAATCATCGCCAAAATTTAGGCTCGCCTACCAAAAACGTATCCTTACCTTCTAAAAATTTAAGACTTTCAAGATTATGAGAAATTATTGTTTACTGGGGAGAATTAATGGAAATTGGATCAAATAAAGAGTCCAGGAATTGATTGGTTCAAATTTAGTTTATTTAATTTCTTGAATCATAAAAACCTAAAATAGCAAAAACTGTTTTTTCTTTTTCTTATGTCTTAAAATTTGAACTTTAACTCGCAATAAATAACCTTCCAATTTTTATTATTATTCCATTCCTTATGACTTGCTTCCTCCCAATATAGCTGGCAATACAATAAATATTCATGAATGATGTAATGTCATGAGCTTTGTGCGAATCTCTCACTCACAGAATTCCTTCCAAAAGACAGATTCCACTCAGCTCAGACATCACAAAGGAAATTCAAGCGAAAAAATGTAAATTTTAATAAATTTGGTTCCTTATTCTAGTCCGAAAATGAACTTTTTTCCTTGGTAAATTAATTTCTTGATTTTTAAATATTTTTCTTTTTCATCATCTCAACTTTTAAATATTAAGCATCTTTTCATATTGTTCATAAAACGAACACTTAAAACTTTTAATGTCTATCCTTACTTTATGCCTTTTCTTCAAAAATTTTATCTAATTTTGTCTTTTTTTTTATAAAATTTCTCCATTTCTTTTTAATACTTTTAATGTGCATTGGTGTGAATTTTCTTGTTCCTTTTTAATTCTCTTATACTTAGTTATTTGATTTAATCGCTATAATTGCAATTGCCTTTATGATTTTAAGATTTTTTCATGGTAATTTTGTAGGTAAATTAAGATCTTACTTGGATTTTTAGGATCTAGCAAGGAATTTTTTTATAGATCCAGGACGAATCTTTAAGTAGTTTGCAGATCCATCACAGTAAAGATTTGTTTGCAAATTTAACAAGAATTCAAAAAATTCCAGTTTAAATTTTGCACATCAAATTAACCAAGAATGCTGAACTGATCAATTTGATCAGATCAAAATCCTTGAATCTGTGTTCAAGTTCCAGCAGATAAACTAAAATTCAGCAAGGAAATCATAAAATATTGCAAAATCCAAGTTTATTGTTCGAAAATTAAAGTTACTTTGTTGTGGTAATGTAGTATATGCTTTAATAGATTATACCTGACATTAAATTAGACCAATAGTTCATTAAAATTATTCTTAAGATTCCATACAACTCTACAATAGTTTTTGATTTGATATTTTATAGGAATTTGGATGGTTTTAAAAGTATCTTTTCCAGTAATTTAAATGAATTCTGTATTCTTAGATCTAAAAGATATTAACTTAGCTTCAAAGCTTTAACAGGAAGTTTTTTGAACTTTCGATTTAATAGGAATTAGGAAAAATCTTAATCCCAATTTTGAATAGCAAATTTTAAATTTCAAAATTAATGTTCCTATTCATTTAATTACTGGAATGTCAAACTCATAATTTCATAATATTTGCGTACAATCAAAGTGTCACACATCAAGCAGCTTACATAGATATTAGTTAATAATTGATTTCACTAGAGTGCCAAGTGAATGAAATTTAAAGGATTGGCATCAACTTTTCATTGGCATTATGTCTGATGATTGAAAATGATGAAATTAATGGGTATTCGACCTCATGAGAGCTGTTCGGATATGGATTGAGGGTTTTTTGGAACTAGATTTTGGATTTGGAATAAAATTTGGGTTTTCGTTTGGGTTTGAAGTAAAAAGTTTTTGATTTTAAAACTAAAGTTACAAATTCAAAAATACGTAAAAATCAATCTTAAAAGCTCTCCGAGGTCTTTTCATAAGATTCTTCAATGGCTTAACTCAAATTGTCAATTTTAAGATTATAATCTTTGTGCATAAATGATTAAAAGTGCAGGACTCTGTTGTCAAAAATTTGGCAATTTCATTTTCATTATTCTTCGTAAACTTCCGATTCTAATCTAAAGATTCATTTTTTTGGCATTTAAATCTTACGGCTTGTTTCACTAAGGTGGATTATCCTCATTTTAGGATTATCTATTTCTTCGATGCGTGGAAAATCCAAATAATTTTTTTCTGATGTAGAATTAATTGGTTAATAATAATCAGAACAGTTTGATAAAAAATCTTCTTATTATATAGTGAATATAGCGAAAAAATAATTTTTGTATATGAATTATCCTAGGATAATCCTGAAGATTATCCGAATTTTAAATCTTGGGGGGACCCAGTTTTAACATTTCAGATTAATTATGTAGATAATCCTAGAATGATCACAGGATAATCTTCGGATAATCCACTTAGGGGTCGTTCACTTATTACGTTACGCAAAAAAAACTTTTTTCACCCCCCCCCCCTCTCCCCTTGTTACAATATGTTACAACTCTCAACCCCCCCCCCCCCCTCCCCCTGAACGTTCATAATTTATTTTATCATTAAAAAGGTGGAAAATTTAAAAAAATGTTTTCGGTGTGAATTTTCGTGAACTTTTTTTTAAAAGACAGACGACAGTTGGAACGTTACATACTTCTTGACACCCCCCCCCCCCCCCTTATGTTATATTTTGTTACAAATTTTCAAACCCCCCTCCCCCTTAAAATGCGAACGTAATAAGTGAATGGCCCCTTACTAGGATAATCTTTTTTTGTGAAAACCATCGTCAAAAAAATATTTTCTTAAAACCTTTTTTTTTTGATTCACCGTGCAGTTTAATGAAGTAAAAATTTTTATCGATTATCCTCGGATTGAAAAAATGGATGATCCGATTGGTGAATAATCCACCTTAGTGAAACAGGCCGTTAGTAATTTATATAGTTTGAAGTCACAATAACTTCTTGACACACATTATATTTCCTTATATCTCACCATTTGATTTATGTTCCTTACATCTCGTTAAAAATTATATGGATATCCATCCATAAAAGTTGATTAAATAAGGAATTATTCATTAAAGTGAAGATGCTCGATTATGCGTCTTGTAAATCGTAACTGTTGTCTGTTGAGTGTGTGTTTGACATTTAAAACTTGCAATTGTTGTCGTTGTCGTCATTTGAGGAGGTGGACCACTATTATCGTCATCATCATCATCCAATGGATCAAATAAAAATTGATTTTCTATAGGATAAAAATCATCAAAATACTCAAGCGATTGATGACGTAATTCTGGTGCCTTATCATTATTATAAAAATTATAAATGTCATCATTTATATTGTCTTGTGAACTATAATAATTGTACATGCCATCGGTGATGGCTGGAATTTTATTTGATTTATCCTCAGTTGGAAACAAGCCAACAGGTGGAAGAGACGATGACGATAGTGAGATTTTTTTCAGGCGCTCTCTATTAATATCACGAAAGTCAAATCGTGGTTTAGGCATTGGCTGAATATAAAACGGTACTTGATTGGGTTTTCTCACGTGATATCTTTTACTGGAAATAGAAAAATTCATTACATTAATTGAGTCAATTTTGATCGTAAAGGAACTGAAAAATTAAATTTGGGCAAGCTTATAGTTCAACAACCAGCTTCCTAATCAATAAATGACATATTTTCTACTTACTGCCTGTGTCTGGAAGCGCGGAAACATCCACATGAGCAAGAACACATTGAATGGTTGTCACCATCTAGTGACGATGAATCCTGATGTTGAAGTTGTGGATAATATTGTATACTATGGTCTATATGTATCCTATGACCAAGGTGACCACTTAATATTGATCCATTTGATGTTATTACATCACCTTCTAGTCTTACAGCACCTGGAATGAATTTATAAGATAAGAAATTGATTTATGTATATAATTCTTAACTTTGCATACCTTGAGCCGCTTGTTGAGCCTCCGCTTCATCTCGTCGTTCATCTTCTGTATTCATGGTTACAAATCGGAGGACAAGCAAGTTAAGTGAGGCAGCAACGATTGCTAATCCAAAGAGGATAAATATTAGAGCAAACATAACGTATTCTGGACGAGTGTTTAAAGAATTGTCTCGTTGAAGAGCGACCATATCACCAAAACCTGAAAAGGGGATGTGGATGTTAGTAATACTCAATTATTTTAGGAACTAGATGTAAAGTTGCTGTATTTTAGACATCATAACTGAATGACCTTTTTGTAAGTCGACTGAAAAAGCCCGCGCAGTCGAACATAAATAGAATATCTACCCAAACAATAATCTATGCGTATTTTTATAAGCATATTGCAACATTCTATTTGTAGCCATAAACTCACCTATTGTTGTTAGTGTAATGAAACAGCTGAAAATAGTATCGATAATTGATAATTAGTAAGGCAATTAAAAATATTGAATTGTCATGAACTGTCGACGTGGCGTGGGAAGTTAATTGTACAAACATAATACATAATGTCATGACTGCCTTTTGCCTAATTTTAGATATGATACTTACTAATAAACTGAATCAAAATATCTCCAGTTCTCGAATTTCGAGAAAGCATAAGCTCCACCAGCTAAAATTAAAGAATGAGTGTTTTGGATATTGATTTACATAATTTGAGGAACTAAATTTAGAGTTGAGGATTTTTTGGGGTGATATAATGAAATTTGAGGAATTCATCTTTGAAAATTGCAAGGGTTTGAATTCATAAGATCTCATTTTATTCACCATTAAGATCGGTTCCTCAGTATAAATGATATAATTTGTTAAGTGACATCACTAAGGTGCCGAGCCAAGTTAATACCTGATCCATCCTTAATTCCAAACTACAGTTTAATACTCACCAATAGTCAAACTACTGAGTGTTGTAACTACACAAATTAAATCCAATTCTGTGGCTGTCGTCTTCTTGCAATGCATAGATTTCCTCACGGTCTGTATTATAAAACTGTAAAAAATTGATTCAATTAATAAGTTATATTGCCACGCGATTTATTATTAATGTAAAAACATTAATAATCCAGTCAATTCAACCCACCTACTCAGTCTGTTTACTCGTTCACCTATACTTTGGAACATAACGAGTCCTGCAGCGGCAACAAAAGAAATTTTATTTATTTTTATTCATTAATCAACGACAAGAAGTATGGATAGGAAGGGGATTGTGAGTGAGAAAAAGTCTAAAAATAATCATTAATGTGATTACTCACCCAAAGGAATTCCTATCATTGCATAGCACATAGTAAACATCTTGCCACCTACTGTTGATGGTGTTGAATGCCCATAACCAATTGTTGTTAGTACAGTTAAAACTACATTTAATCAGCATGAAGGAAATATTGATGTATTTTTTGGCGACCAACGAATGTTTTGTTGTTATTTGTGACGGAAGGAGGGTAGGGGAAAAGAAAATCAATGTGAAAATGTCTAATAAAATTTATGATTATGGCAATTATGGATTAATTTTACTCACCATAATAAAATGCTCCCGTAAATTTCCATTGTTTGCCTGCTTTATGCGGTTCCGTTTTTAATATTACTGTTTCAATTATCTTAAAATCATCTGGTGAGATATTGTATTTTTCGACAATTATGTCCTCAATTGCTTGTAGTGCTTCCCAGCGCTTCTTTTCTGTTTCCGATTCTAAGGCATCTGGAATAGTTAAATTGATGGTTAATGAAATATGTTAAAAGTATTTAAGGATCATCATCAAAGGGTATCCGAGGTGTAAGAAATAAATCTTTACTTTAAGAAATAAATAAAATCTGATTGTGACTAGATTTGGGTACTCTCAGTAGCTCTAGAAGCCGGCTCCAGATCAGTGTAATCAGGGTGTCATGTATGAAAGAAGGGATTTGGTAGAGATTGAAAGACTTGACCTTTTAAACCATTACGGGGATATAGGTCAGGAACAAAATGTAGCAAGACTCTAGATTGCGGTTAGTCTTGTTTTCTTAAGAATGCCTAAAATTACTTAATGGTTAAGAATACTAGGGTTAACAAGAAAACCTAGTTTATGTTCTTTATAGTGGTAAAGACTCCGATTTACTCTAATTGGGTCCAATTCAAGCTAGAAGCCGCTTAACAACACTAAGAGTCCACGCTTGAGGAGTAGAGGTTGATGAGCTTTCTCCTCGAAATTCCCTAGGTATCCAAAAGCTTACCAAAAACAGCAGCGCCAATAAGTAGGTATGTAAATGTGCAAACAATCAACGATAAAGTTCTGATATTTTGCTTCTTCATTCTTCATCTGGTAACTTTAAATATTTATGTGATAAAATAAAAACAATAGCTGAATATGTATGTCTCCCTTAAAATATAGATTCTTTTTCTATTTCAATATTGAGGGACTTTTCTTCTTAATTTGGCACAAATTTATTTCCTTTGTGTGCCTTTATGTCTTTGACTAACGACTTCGAGAGACTTGAAAGTAGTCAAAGACAAATTTATTGTAGATATTCTCAATTGTTCATGATTTATGCTTTTCATATGCACTTTTCACAAGATTTATGGCTTCACCTTCCACTCAAATTTTTGATTATTTCAAGCAAAAATTCGAAAATTATTTTAAATGGAACTAAAATTTTGCACTTGTACGTCACTAAGATACCATTTTTAATAAGATATAGTCTCAAAATAGATCTTCAATTTGATTACTAATGGGAAATTTTCTTTTCTGTCTATTTCGACTATTCCTTAATTTTAACTTGCTTGCCATGACTTTAATTCACTTGATGGTGGAAATTAAGGATAAATATCACACATTTTAATTGAATTGTTGACATTTTGCCACGAAATTTTAATTTTTTCTCAAATTCATGATGAAAAAGTTTTCACAAGAAAGAAAAAAGTGAATTTTCCCAACTTGTCAGTGTGTTAGTAGTGATGTAATTTTCCCTGTCGTATTTCATATCGTCAACCACGAGGTTTCCATTTACATGTGATTTCAGTCACTTCCAGTTTGATTGTTTATATTCAATTATCTTTCATATTTTCAATTAAAGCTTTGAATATTTTAGATTAAAACTTTACAACATTAAAAGTTCCACAAAAGCTAGACTTTCATTATGTATGTAACCCATAAAATTATCATATTCTATAGTATTTACATAAATACAAGCTTCCAGTCAAAACATATGATGATCAAGTGGTTGTGACGTCATAAAATGAAATTGTTGCCACATTACTTCATCTTTTTCTTACAATTCCTGTTTATTATCAGCAACAAGCAGCTATGGCAATGTACCTTAAATCGCGCAGAATCAAAACATCAAAACTGTTGCTGAATTTTTCCCAAAGAAGGCAGTAATGTCGATGGAGGAAAAGTATTTAAGATTTTATTTCTGTTATTTCTCTTTGTGGATTCATGTCGAGCAGGAAGTGCATTAAAGCCTATAAAAGTCGTTTTATGATTTCCATATAAAATATTTTTAACATCGCATTTTTCTGTTTATTCTCTTTGATGAAATATGTTATGGGGATGCTCATAAATGATGACTAATATTAAGGCTGTCGAACTGAGCACTTTTTAAGCGGGTCAGTGCTGTATTTTTGAAAAAAATTCAGCATAAAATCATTAATGTCCCGCTTATTTGTGCCTATTTTTTTGGAAAATGCTTCAAAATTTGGTCGTTTCCGCTTTTTCAGAGCTGAAAATGACCAGGAAGGGTGAAGGTGAAAGTAGATGAACTATTCTGGAAGGTTCTTAATTTTATGATTTGACCCAAATGACCCTTGATAATTTCCATGTCCAAGAAACTCCAAGAATTTACATCTCTTAATAGACATCACCTGCAACTGACCCCTCCTATCTCTGTGCGCCTACACAGACTGTGGAAGATCGTTTTTCTCTTAAATTAATTTTTATGAATGAAGATTTATTTTAAAAAAATTTCTTTCCTCGTTTACGTGAAAATAAATTTATTCTACCTTTTGAGTTTCAATGTCTGAAATTGTATGGTCTATACATCAAAAAGGATCTTTTGGTTAAGAGGTTCCTACACTCTCCACTTGATTCGAATTTGAATAGAATTTTTCCAAATATAGAAATGAATTTGTTGAGCTCTTTGAAGTTTTACATTTATTAGGAAAATATTTTTCAATTTTACCTCACTCATACATCATTCAGATTAAGTTCTGATGATGACGTACAAGTCAATTGCATGAATATTCGGCATATATTTCCTATTTTGACGTCGACATACACAAAACTTCAAAACTTTCTATTTTCAATCATTGCTTTCATTCATATCTGAAAATAGTTTTGCTGGAGGTAGACATTGCGTAAATTCCTGAATATTTTGATTTGATGAAATTATTGATGGAAAATTAAATTGTTGGAATCGCAAACGTTTACAAATATTTTTGGGAACGTTATGAAAATTCAATTAAGATGCTGTTTTGACTATGATGGAATTTTATGGTTTGACCTGATTTTGTAATGAAATTTTTACTTGATATTTTTGAGAATATATCCACAACATAATATTGAAGGATTCAATGAGACACATGCTTTTTCTAATCAATCAAAGTTTCATTTTTCAACCTTATTCAACCTTCCATATTTTTCAAATGGTATAAGACTCTATTGCAAACAATTTGTTCTATTGAGCTATAACTCCTTTTAAGTGACGTAAATTTTGAGACTGATGTTGGATGTAATTTCTATAAAAGTTGTAGTTCTCAAGCTGTTTTCATTTTTGGCAAACTAATCGCCATTTTAAAGATTTGTAGAATATTAAATCTGAACAAGGTCTAATCAAATTCATAAACTGTTAGTCACGAGAACCAAATGCGCTCAAGTCAATCCCAAACAAACATGTGCACATTAATCCACACATGTTCTCTTATTCTACCTTTCCTGTTTTCAATTAAAAAGATCAAATTTACAAAAAAAAAATCAATAGGTAGGAAATATTATTTATAGAACTTGATATGAGGGTTCATCAAGTTCACACTTCAAACACAAACAAACCAGATGCAGGATGATAAAGTATCAAAAAAGGAATTTCTTTTGTTAATCGAAAGCTTTTTTGTTGAGTTGCTAAGGAAAGCTACTTATCGAACTAAATTTACATCTTTTATGCTCATTTTTTATGGAAAATGAATTTCCTTTCATTCCAATCATCGTTTTAAGCACCAATCTTTTAATATTATTCAAGTGAAATTCAGACAGAAAGGATAAAAATCTTTATAAACTATGAAGAAGGTAATTTTTTTTGTGATTTCAAGATTCTCTGAAGGTGAATAAGGAGGCGCAAAAAATTTATTTTGGATATTTGATAGAGCATGAAGAAGTCAAGATAATAAAGCCCAATAGAATAAAGATTCTACGTCTCAAAAGGCAAGATTTGTATTTCAATTGACTGAGATATTAGAAATTGATACAATTTACATTGTTATAGGCAAGCAATGAATGGCTGTAAGGAGTATGATAGGAAATAGCATAAAAAAGCAATTGGAAACGTAAAAGAATGAAACGCACACATAATTTCTCTTGAGAGATTTATTTTACATTAAATTGTACATTAATGTAAGCAACTAAGTGCGATGTGTGGTAAAGCTGTATATACTTTTACATGCTTCAATAGACACAGAATAGATAGATAAATTATTGTAGATAGATAATCAATAATGTGACAAATGGAAATTCAATTTCAATTCTGAATAGTTTAACAAATATATGCATAGTGAGCATAAGTTATTTCTAGCGCTATAATATAATCCATTACTTCCATTTCTACTTTTAAATTCAAATCCCTTACTTTTTTACAACTGAATAACATTTTTACTACGAATGTTGAATTTAAATTTTTACTAAAAACCAAATACTTAATATGTGCAATCCACAGGCTCCAACCTTCCAAATCATCTACTCAGTCACAGCAAACATAAAAGTACAACAACTCAACAAAACTGCATTTAAAAACTACCATTTCACATTGCTTGAATGGAAATTTGTCTCTTTCCTCAATTTGTATGTCTAGCTGCATACGTCTGTCACTTCATACTGTTATTTTAAGTCCAGAATAAAAAATCGATTTCTATTTATTGACAGATCATTGACTTACTAATTTGCAACATTTATTTATTTATTATTATCATGAAAGTGTTTCATGGAAGTCCTTTTTATAGGATGATCGATTGGCCAGCAACAGATGACTTTAACCTGTTGTAAATGCTTTTATCAATTCTCTGCTTGAATTTGATTCAAAGGTAAAAAAAGTAAATTTATTCAATCTGGATACACACTGGGGATTTTTGTCATGAATCCTTCGGTATCTTGAGATTATTTGCTTGGAGGTGAAGACGAGGTCTTATGAGAGGTTACATTTTTTTATTTACTTAGTCAAATTCGACCCTTTTAGGAGTTGAATGGGTTAAATGATAATAATCGATAGAATTGAGCAATTAATCTCTTGAAAATTAATTAAACTGCGCTATAAATCCCTCAAACAGCTTAACTCATTTCATACATGTAGATTCATCTTCTCTTTTGAATTTAATTTAATTACAATTTACAATATGAAAATCTTAACGTTTTTCTATCTCTTTTGGCGCATTCATTCATTTTTTGTTCGATTTTTGTTATCATTTATCCTCACAACTTTTTTCTCTTATAGTTTTATTCATGGCTGTACATACATGCATGGTATTTATTCAGATATGAACTATCGTTGCAGTTGCTTATTTCTCATTTTTTTCTGTTTCGACTTTTTTGCACTTAAGCAAAAAAAGAAGCAGTTCTAAAAGTTTAATATCATTTATAAATGACCCCAAGTAAGAACGAATCTAGGATTAAAGGTTCATATTAAAGTAAAAAAAGGTAGATGAGGGAGAGTGTAATGATACAATTCTAGTTACAGTTGAGTTTCCAAACAACATCTAAAAGGTGAAAAGGAAGAAGAGTGATGCTGAAATTTAGTTTTTAATTAAACACAAGGAAAAAATTTTGATCCTGAATTTGAAAAAAGCGTTGTAACTTGGTATGTATTATTATATATTTCTATTTTAACATAGCTTAACAATTCGATTGTTATTTTAGGTGGGTTATCTATCAAAACGCATGGTAAATGATAAATCAAAAGGTGAACCGAAAAATGGGCTAGCGATCTCTCTACTAAAGCTGTATTTTTCTTCAGACTTCTTTTTATCAGAGGTTGGATGGTCCAATTATGATGGTATTATTAATTGATTTCATTTTAAAGATACTTTTATAATGAAATATTTTATTCTTGATTTCCTTTTCAGGTCGTGTTGAGATTCGTAACAATCTCGGACATATTTCTCTTTTGACGTCATTAAAGCACACACCGAAGGAATTTACACCAATTTAGATGCTGCAAAAAAATTTATTCACTCCGCAATCCGCTTTTTTGATGAAGACCACAATGAAATTGTTCGTAAAATGAAGAAAGCTGATTCAAAAGCTAACGAAAAAGTTTAATATTGATATTTCTTATCTTAATTTGTTTTTGATTATAAAAAATTGTAATAAACTCCTAACTGAAATCCAGATTTTGAATTTTGATTTATT